AGTTCCTTGTGGGTTTGGTTTTCATGGATCATTTCAATAATAAGGGATCTTCCTGCCAAATGTAGGCATTTTGAATGCTGCCTCCCTAAAGAACAATATAAAACATGAAAATGAATTGCAAAAGATACCCAGAAATCCAAGGAAAAATCAGAAGGTGCATATTCATTACAAAAAAGACTAAATATACAAAGAATCCAAAGAGTTATATTTCACAAAACCAAAGATGGTTTTTGCCTTTTAGCAGCATAACCCACCACCAAACCCACTGGCCTTTAGAGGCTGTAAATTGTACTGGAGGAGATTGCACATTTTTCTTCCACAGACCTACTGGTAGATTTGATCAGTCTGCTTCTGGGTTTACAGCACAACTCCTTACCCACTAGGCCACCAGAACTCCCTACCACACCATATGCTGTTTTTATTATGTCAAGTCAGAACCGACGCATAGTTGACCCTCCAGTGGGTTTTCAGAGCCAATAAATCTCATGTGAGGAGATTGTACATCTTTCTTTTGTGAAGCAGCTAGTGGATTCAAACTGTGTGCCTTTGCGTTGACAGCTCAATTAATTATCAGAGTGACCAGAGTTCCCCTACACCACCATATCCTTCATAAATTCTAACTTTTATACTAAGATCCATCAATGTATTTCAGAAAACTACCTTATAATTCCTGACAAACTTGATTGTGCCAATTTAAATTTCAGAGTCACTCAAGCCTGTTTTCCTCATCTGCTCCTTTCTCTTACTAAAATTATTATTATTTAGTTTCATATTAATTTTTCTGAACTAATACAAGTTAGTCTTTAACAACAGTATGTTTCTTTTAACATAGTAAAAACTTGGGTATTTAAGAAAACCTTAGGCGGTTAAATCTTTTGCTATTTATTGTAATTCAAATAAAATATATTATTATATATATATATTCAGAACACAAACTATTCATCTTCATCTAAACCTTCAATTAAATTCCACAATGCAAACCTCTTGGCACCAGTACTACGCTTTATGTTTATTCAACTAATCTTGTGTCTTGAAGAGTGTTGAAGTTTGGGGGTTTTCTGGTAAGGATCCATGTTCTGACATCACCTTAACCACGGCAGTGATTGGCTGTTGGAAAGCAAAGAAGAGTTTATAGCCTGCAGGAGCAAGTGAATAAGGAAGTGAGAGCAGAGGAAATATTCAATCTGTGTCCTCTCACTCCCTCCTGTGAATCTGCTCCTAAGTCCAGGACTGTAAAAGGGTAAGGGTTTTGTATGACAGCTTCAATGTCTTTTTAAAAATCTAATCCTTTGGCTTGGTTTTGAAACGTCTTTATTGATATTATTGCACTATGCTGAGTGGCTTTCTAACTCACAGTTTGCTTGTCATTGAACAAATACCTCGTATTTTAAATCCTTTCCAAACAGCTTAACTCATTTACTTCAGAGTATAAAAAAGATAGTAAGCTAACATTGTGCATATTAACTAGGAAATTATGCTGTCTCTGCACATCCTAGTTAACCTTCCCTATTGTGTTGCATTATGATGCTCTGCCTGTGATATGATTTGGTTATTTATATTCTACCTAGAAGTAGGCTTATTTACCTCTAATACTTTATCTAATCTGTCTTTCAAGTACAGGCAACTTCTTTTCAATATGTAAAATACTAGATTTCAAAGTGTTAATACTCTATAGCTCTAAAGTCAATATGGAGAATACATAGTTTAGAGAAATAAATAATGTTAGTTTTTTATCATACTCTTCTTAATGAATTTCTATGCTTAAAATTCAAAACCATTCTGTAAAAATGTCTGAATGGCTGCCTGGTGTAAGAGTGGTCACTATAAAGATCTTTGCTTTACTCTTGCCTAAAGAAGTAATTTGATTTCTTTAACTCTATCCATGAATACTTTTAACTTAGTTCTTTTCAAGATTTGCCATGAAAAAAATTGTATCATCGAAACTCTTTTTTGTTTGCATAGATTGAACAACTTTTAAAAAACTCTTAAAAACAGTCTAACTATCCCAATCCTTTTCGAGAAGATACAAAGAAAGAATATACCTATTGGACAAGTGGCAAAATTCAGTATAGTATATCAAAGACCCCAACAGCAGAGTTTTGTGGGAGCCATTCAGTGAAAAACCTCCTTTATCTTTATATGATCATAAGAATATTTATAACATACAGGAGACCACGAGAGAAATGTGGAGGCATTAAGATCAAAAGACCTATTTCATCACACAAATGGAGTGTGACATAGGACTCAGGACAGCTTCTCTTGGCCTCAAACCCTAATCTGTGTAATGTTTATTTTAGTGACAAGTACTCAATAAAGATGCAATAAATCTTAGGTGTTGACAAAGTCTACCTGAACTGCACAATATATGGCACCAGTTCTGCATAGTTCAAATAGGCTTACGGAGAAAGTGTCATCGCCATACATATTGCTTCCAAAATTTTACCCATGCAGCAGCATTTTGTGACTGTGTGTGAAAGCAATCTCAGTCAAATGAGTATATAAGTGCAAGTAGGTGGATGCTATTGGGCTTTTAGTTATGTTTGTTCAACCTCTATTAAAATAGAATTTGGTAAACAGCATAAAATTAAAATAGAATAAGATTCCACTCTCTCCCTTCTTTTACTTATGAGGGAAGTGTGTGGAACTAGGCTCTCTGCATGACTGCAAATCTCAGGATTGCCCAACAGCTTTTCCTACTTGAATAAGTGCAACTGGAGGCACAGTCATTGGTGACTGGAGCTCCTACTGGGGAGAGTTTGGCAAAGAAAAGGGAGAGCAGAAACAGGAGTGAAGAAAATGGGAGAGACTATGGGATGGACACTAAAACAGCAGTTTTCACCAGTGTTTAATCTGCTTCTTGTTGTTGTTGTTGTTATGTGCCTGTGACCCTTAGTGACCCTGTGTACAATAGCCCTAACCCTGCTCTTTGCCTTGCCAATCTTACTGTCTCCGACATGCCTATCCCCATAAGTCCAGTAACTGAATCAATCCATCTCCTCGAGAGTCTTCCTCTCTTATGCTGTCCCTCCAACCTTCCAAGCATGATGTCCCTCTCCAAGTACTGGTCCCTCCTTGCAATATGTCCAAAGTATGTCAGACGAAGCCTCAGAATCCTTGTCTCCAAGGAGTAGCCTGGCTTCACCCTCTCCAGGATGAATTTGTTTGTTCTCCTAGCATTCCATGGTATATTCAAGACTCTTCTCTTGAATCTCACCAATGCCTCAGATATTCCCACAAAACTGAAGTTTCCTCTAGCCCTAGCGTCCTGACACTGGGCAACCCATTAAAGTCATTCTTATTAGTAGATCAGACTCAAACTCATTGCAGCCAGAACAGGAACAATTTATAACCAACACTCCGCAGGTTTCTGAGGCTGTAAATAACAAGTGAGAATATTGATCGTCTTTCTCTCTCAGAGTTGCTGGTGGATTGAATCACCAGAGAGGTACCATCTTTGGGTTACCAGAGCAATTTATTACGGACTATGTCACCGGAGCTCACTCGTTAGTATACGTGACTGCTATTATTATCATCAAATCAGAACCTACTCAGCTGACCCTCCAGAGGATTTTCAGAGGTTGTAAATCACGTGGGTGGACATTATCTATCTTTCTCCCATGGAGCTGATAGAAAGGTTCCATGGAGCTGGCAAACAGCCTAATTTGAAGACATTTGCCTCTCACATCCTCAGGTGAAACTGGTGATTTTTATAAAAGTGTTCATAGACATAGTTGCTGGGTATGTTGTTGTTATGTGCCGTCGTTTGCGACTAATAGCGACCCTATGCACAACAGCCCTAAACCCTGCTCTATCCTGCGCCAACCGCACTGCCTCTGACACACCCCCCGATTACCCCAGTCACCGAATCAATCCATCTCATAGAGGGTCTTCCCCTCCTGCGCTGTCCCTCCACCCTCCCAAGCATGATGTCCCTCTCCAAGGACCCGTCCTTCCTAGCAACATGTCCAAAGTATGTCAGACGAAGCCCCAGAATCCTTGACTCCAAGGAGTAGCTTGGTTTAATCCTCTCCAAGCATGTTACAGATAAGTCCACAAAACATGAACACCAATCATTATCAGATAACAAGAAAATGCCATCTAGTATCCACTTTGCAAATGAAATTTAATTTAAAACAGATAAACTAGAAACTGCACAAAGGAAAACTTATATAAAAGCAAGTTGTAAAGTTTAATTGATTTCTACTTAGATTTTTATTATTAACAAAACAAAGCAAGAACATAACTACATTAGCAATTTGATTCACTTAACTGGCCTTCCTAAATCCATGATACTGGAAGAACTTGATTCATTCAAAGGCTTTTAGAGCAATTCGGATGACCTCACTTTGACAGGACACAGCAAATTAGCTGAAACCAAACATGGAACTTGAGACAGCTCAGCTGGATAAATGAAATCTTAAACCACTTTAATGTAAGGGGTAATTTCAAAACAAAAGCAGGAATTTTCTCTAGATTGATCTAAATTCTAATTACACAGAAATTATCAAAACTAAAAATAACAAGTTCATTGTTACTGAGTCTCTTCTGGCTAACAGCAATCCAGTAGGACAGAATGGATCTGACCCAATAGGCAACTCTGCTGGCCTACTGGTAAAGAGTTGTGCTGCCAACCTGGAGATAAAAGCTTCAAATCCACCAGCTGTTCTGCAGGAGAAAGATAGGCATTCTCCTCTTGTATGATGAAAACCCACTAGAGGGTCAGCTGTGATCCGGTTCCAACTAAACAACACATAAAAGCAACAGAACTGCCTGGAAAATTTCCAAGGATGTATCTTTATGGAAGCAGGTTGTTTCAAATTTCTTTCAAAAAGCAGTGTGGACCACTGACTTTGGTTAAAACTGAGCCCTTTTAACCACTACCTTCCAAGTTTCCACAAACAGAAATGAAATACTTCATACTTGAGTCTGAGAAAAAATAGTTACGCTCTTAATTTTAATGTGTTAATCATACATCTTTATTAATTTCAGAAGAAATCAAAATGAAGACGGCCTTAATTTTGCTGAGTCTTCTGGGAATGGCCTGTGCTTTCTCAGTAAGTTCTTTCATGAAAACTTTTATAGTAATTTCCTTCTACATGTCTTTCATGTAAATGTAAAGCTACATAATAATGGAATGTTCTTTCAAACAGATGAAAAATTTACATCGAAGAGCCAAAATAGAGGATTCTGAAGAAAATGGGGTAATTAATATTAGCATATTTGACTTAATTTCTTTTTTTCTAAATTTATTTCCCATTAAATATAAATATCATACTTACTTTGTTTCATAAATATCATATTTACTTTATTTATACAGATCTTTAAGTTCAGACCACGATATTATCTTTACAAACATGCCTACTTTTACCCTCATTTGAAAAGATTTGTTGTTCAGGTAAGTTTAAAGATTTATTTTTTTCCTCAACAGTATACAATAACTTGTTATAATATAAAGAAAGTAAAACTTAAGTACAATTCACTTAAATTGAACTGTTTCCTGAAATTCAACCAGAAAGACTGTTTATTACAAATTTGATTTCAACATAAGAAAGCTTATTTTCAATTATCTTTTAAAAGAGAAAGAGAAAGGTAAATCTTTTTTTCCCAAAGTAGAAAGATATAACAAAAACAAAATACATAACACTCTGTTAAGCTGCATTTATTAACTTCACATCCAAAATGGAACAATTTTACCAGCAGCTGATAATTCATTTAATGATAAGGTCATTAATGAAAATGTTATAGTTTATTCTTTATTGTCATATTTTACCTAATGATTTAGAGAGCTTTCCTTGATAAGGGAAATTTGACTTTACAAGCAGCAGAGACCATTTTAAAATCCTTATAATCATTGCTGATTGTGATGGAAGTTTTTTTGTTTTGGTTGGTTTGGGTTTGTTTTTGTTTTGTCTTGTTTTGTTTTTTAAGTCATTGACTTATGCAGGTAATTAGAGAAATGAAGGTACAGATTCTAATATCAGCACTGCTCTGTATCATATATTGGAGTACAATTATAATAGAAGCATGTTTTTAAAAATATAGAGGAAAAAAGTTATGAAGTGACAATTTGTAAGCATTGCAATCCTTAGCACTTATAAACAAACAAAAAATACCATTGCTCACACTCAGTTCTTTTTAATTGAGTTACATAAAGAGGTACTTAGAAAACTGTTGATTTTGAAATATGCAACAGCCCAGAATAGCACTATTTTTATTATTATACAGCTTGGGTTCAGGGCACCAATTATCCATCATTTGAACCAGAGTTCCTGAGACACTAAAAGCAGCCAGGATGTTGAAAACGATGCTTCAGCATAGTGGTTTGGCACAGCATCTTACCATATGTTCAGTTAACCATACTCTAACTCATACAATGATAGGAAATGAGAATTGTAAAGTATTTCTGGGGCTGTTCTAATTATGGAGAGCATAAGCAACCACAGAAATATGAGTAGGAAAGATACAAGAATTGTGGATTCTCAGAATTATCTCCTGTTCTTTGGTTCACCTCAAACCCCAAAGTAAATAGTGCTTATTTGAAAATGCACTTGATTTTCTTTGTTAAACTAAATGGAAATGGTAAGAAACATAAGGTTCTGACCATCCCCTTCAACTTGCCCAAACCACTACATATTTAGAGATAACCCACTTAATTTTTTACAGATACATCTATGTAGCTCATTTAAAATGTTTAGTGGAAAGATATTAGGAGAAAAGTCTATTTTGTATTCTTGATAGTCTCAGAGTTTATATAGCTTTAAATGATCTTTGAAATAAAATATTTTCCAAATTCTACATAGATAAGTCTACCTCAACTAATATGGAATTTCTGAGCTAGATGTTGTTTGCACTAAAATTGATTCCAACTCATCTTTTTGTTCAACCTTGTTGGGCAAAACAGAATTGTCCCATAGGGTTTCCACTGATTTCACTTGCAAAATAAAGCCAGACTGTTCCTTAGAAACAAATATAGTGAGACTTTGTTTCACACTGGGCATATTATCAGAAACCATCAGTCCTTGGAAGAAGACACCATGCTTCGAATAGTAAGGGTCAATGAAAGCAAGAACTTCAATGAGAAATGTTTACACAATGACTGCACCAGTGGACTTCACAGCAGGGGTTGTGAGGCAGAGCCAGGATTGGGGATTGTGTTGTACATGGGAAGCTACAAGTCAGAGCCGACTTGACAATAACAACATAGGGTCCAAGGCTGTAACCTTTATGGAAATAGAATGTTGTATCTTTCACCCATAGAATGGCTAGTGTGTTATAACTGCCAACTTTTCAATTTGCTCTCAAATTCAATGCTAGCAAGTTGGAACCAATGAGTGCTTATTTGTTGTGCCACCAGGGTTTCTAATAAATAAAACAGCTGCTTTGGGGTTTGTTTGTGGGTCTTTTTTTTAAATCTAAAAAATATTTTTCCTTATCCACCAGTTTGGCCTAGCATTTTTGATCTAGTCTCCTTGCAAAGTTTCATCTTAAAGACTTTTTTTTTTCCTTTGCATGATTATTTATGTACTTTTCATTGATCTTTACTATTTCTCCTCTTAAATATTTTGTGTTTACGCTAGGTATTTAATGTCAAAGTTTTCATGCAAAAAAATACTAAACCAGGTTGACTTTAAAATTCATGTTTTATTCAAACAAATTAGTGTTTATAAATGTCTTTCTAAAATATTAATTAACGCTAAATAGATTGCTTGCAAAGCTATCTGTAGTCCACTAGTTTATCTGTCTGCTTGATTACAGAAAAAAGGTTACGAATAAGGTTACCACTTTGAACAATTTTAATTGAGAAATTTATTTATGAGTCAAATGATAATTGATTAGTGTGTGAAATTTTAGAGGACTAGATGAAATCTTTTATTTCTTTTATAAATTCCAGCTTTCATGCTAGAAATAGAGCAAACTGCTTGATTTCCCAATTTTACCTGTTCCTATTACCCTCTATACCACAATAACTGGAATTTGTCAAAAGGAGTTGTTATTTGTTGTTCTTGTTATTTGCCATCAAGTCACCTGGACTCATAGTGACCTTAGGTACAACAGCCCTGAACCCTGCTATGTCCTGTGACAAAATTATTCTCTGACACACCTATTCTCATTACTCCCGGCACGGAATCAATCCATCTCAATGAGCATCTTCCCCTCCTGCGCTGTCCCTCCACTCTCCCAAGCATGATGTCCCTCTCCAAGGACTAGCCTTCTTGTAACATATCCAGAGTATATCAGACAAAGCTTCAGAATCCACACCTCTAAGGAGCAGCCTGGTTTTAACGTCTCAAGGATGAATCTATTTGTTCTCCATGATATATTCAGTCCTTGGTATATTCAGAAGGATTAGTAGCTTAAAAAGGGTGTGTGGGGGGTGTGTGTGTTATATATTATTATATACTTCTGGCAAAACTAATGACTCTTAGAGACAAACTGGTCATTTTTATTTGCCATCAAGCCAGAACTGACCAATTGCTGACCCTCCAGTGGTTTTTCAGAGGCAGCAAATCACATGGAAGGAGACTGCACATCCTTCTCAGGAAAAGGATATGGTGGATTTGAACTGCATGCCTAGGGGATTGCAACACAGCTTCTCACCATTCGACCACTAGAGCTCTCCCTACTATTACCAGTTTAGTCTAAACTACTAGTTTAGTGAGAAACTAATAATAAAAGATAACTTATAGAAAGAGGAAAAATGTCAATACTTCAAAGAATTCAATACAATTTTAAAATCCTTGTGGATCCAAGTAAAGAGTAATATTGTTCAAGTAAGGTGAAGACAAGAGATGAAGACGTACAAAAAATTTCTAAAAGCTTCCGTATTTAAGAAAAATTATCTCTAGGTATGTGAACATACTGTCTTAAAATAACACGTAACAAATAAAAATTATTCTAATGTAGTATTCTACTTTATTTACTCTCTGGACTAAGTTGACGGCAGTGAAAAAGCACATCTTATTATTCTCTTTCGTCCCAAGTTATTCTTGGCCCACAGAGACAGGAATTCCCTTTCTTGGGTAGTTAACTTGGCTGTCTGACAAAATAAGCCTGAAGAAGACAGAAACATGAATGTTTTTCTCATATCCTACCTTTAATCCTGAGTTTAGCAATCCTTCTGCACACATCTTTTCCAAATGTTAAGTTCACCAACTGAACCATCTGAACTGGAAGTATGATTATTTTGTTGTTTTTGTTATTTGTGTCCTTGTCAAAGATCAGTTGACCAATGAAAAGGAAAAAAGCATCATTTTCAAGAAGTGACAGAAACTTAAGTTGAGTGTCCATTTGTATAACTATTGCCTTCTGGGGTACTTTTAGGAGATTCATAACTCACTGCTTAGCACCAGATCTGACTGAGAACTGACCTTCAACGTGTTTTCAGAGACAGTAAGTTGCACAATGACTAGGGAGGACAGAAGGAGAATTGACGCCTTTGAGCTGTGGTGCTGGAGAAGAGTACTGAATGTACCATGGACTGCCAAGAAAACAAACAGATTCAACCTAGAGAGAGTAAAACCAGGCTACTCCTTAGAGGCAAAGATTCTGGGGCTTCGTCTGACATACTTTGGACATGTTGTAAGGAGAGACAGGTCTTTAGAGAGGGACATCATGCTGGGTAGAGTAGAGGGAAAGCGCAGGAGGGGAAGACCCTCTATGAGGTGGACTGATTCAGTGACTGGGGTAATCGGGATGGGTGTGTCAGAGGCAATGCGATTGGCACAGGATAGAGCGGGGTTTAGGGCTGTTGTACATAGGGTCGCTATGAGTCGCAAACGACTCAAGGGCACATAACAACAACAATAAGTTGCACAAGAGGAGATTACATATCTTTCTCCCCAGGAAGGTTTGGTAGATACGAACTACCAGAGAAGGCACAGCCTTTGAGGCAATAGGTCTCAGGAGAAAGAAGGTCTTATGAGAAGATGGTGTTGTGTGCCATCAAGTAGGAACCAACTTATAGCTGACCCTCCAGTGGGTTTTCAGGGCCTATAAAATCACATGGGAAGAGATTGCTCCAAGAGGAGCAGCTGGTGAATTCTAACAGCATGCCTTTGACTTGGCAGTGCAACTCCTTAACAGTAGGCCACCAGAGACGGAAAATCCAGTTAAAGCTGACATTATTTAGTGTCTCAGGAATCTTCTCTACAGTCTTCCAGGTTCTGAAAGTACACATTTAGATTTATAATTCCCTTTTAAAAACTACTCAAACCATTAAATCATAGCTAAAATTTTATCTTCAGAATCCTTTATTTTCTTTTACCTGGTACTCAGCTCTTCAGAGGAATGGTGCTGTACAAATATCCTATAGGAGTAAATGAATACATTTTTCTGTTTTGGAACTTTCACCTCATCTAAAGAGGTTAATCTAATTTGGAGTATTATATTTAATTAGAGTTAAAAGTACTAAATGTTATACATT